CTCGAGGGGACGCCCCGCGGCTCCAGAGTTCAGTTCTTTGGGCCTATAGGCCTAGCCTCAAGACCCAAGGATGTGCTGAAGTAAAGAGCCCTTTTCGAAGAGCACCTGAAGATGTCAAGCAGTTCTACGTTCTTCACGAATACGCTTCCTTCCGCTTGCGCGCATGCAGCCGTCTTCTTTCCCCTAGCCTATAACCCGTAAGCCCAAATCGGGATCCGTGACGTAGGATTCGACTCATCGCACTTAATTGGGATAGCTCCTGACGCATACAGTTCATGCAACTCCATGGGTGTTAGGGGGCCTATCATAGGGGAGCTCAGAACTTAGAAAGAACACCGTCTTCCTGATAATGTTTGTGCCACGTTTTGCGACTTCCTTGACCATCACGATGCTGATAAAAATCGATCTTATAACCTGGGCATAGTCCCAAGACAAGCAGTGGAGAAGAGAATGAACCACGAGCCCCTCTGAACATTAGCCACGCCCAACACCTCAAGCCGCGAGGGCCTCCGCCCTGGCCCAGTATGCAAGGGCAGGGCGCCACCTCGGCAAACCCACTGTAAGCAGTCTTGTGAGCATTTTCTTCTTCAGCCTTCTGCTCACGGCTGCTATCCCTGTGTTATCACCATTCTCCAAATGCGATCCTCCCAAGGCCAGCTTCCAACAAGCTTCTCTGCCATTGACAAGAAACATCCAGGGCCACGGCCGGTCAACCCAAACACCAGATGCCTAAAACCTGAAACTGGAAAAAACAGAAAGGCTGAAAGCCCAAGAAGCGCACGGCTGCCACAATCGCCTCGCCTTTGCTGCCCCCGGCGAACTTTGCCCACTCCAGCTCCTCTGCAAACGGCTTATAAGAGCCCACGGCCCGAAACTTAATTCAAGCTTCCGAGCAAGGCCTGCACCCTGCGAGCCGTTACATCTGGGTTTGGATTCGAGGCAGGGGTAACTGCATCGGATACGTTGACCAATCAGCACTGAGAAATAGCAATAAGCAAAGAATAACCACCCAAGGCAATCTGCCCTCAAATTCATCTCTATCACGGGCTGGTTCTACGCCTTGAGTAACCGTTTAACCGCGCTTGGCCTGACTTCAAACAACGCGATTTAGAGATTAGGGTTGAGGGTTTATGTCAGTTTTGTGAGCCCAAGTCAGCAAACAGCACCGCCTCTGCGAGTTCTCGAGTCCTAAACCTCCTACACACCAAAATCCTCAGGCCGTAAACACTACGGTCACTACTTCAGACCTGACCCCTCAACCCTAGCCCCTAAAATCTTCCAAGTTGTGAAATCCTCACCGAAGTCGTCCAGAGCCCCGAGGATGGACGGCACGTCCCCGGGAAGCGCCTGGAAGCACACTCTCGGCTGACTTTTTGTGGCTCAGTTCCTGAGACGAGTTACCCTAAGGCTCCGTAGCAGTTCGTTTTTGGGGGTTCATATGTAGAATCCTATAAGGTAATCCCAAAAAGGAACTACTATGGAGCCTTAGGGTAAGCCATTGAAAGTGCAGGGATGGTTGCTTTTGGGCTCCAGTTGTGGGGATGTCGGATTAAGGTTCACGATATGGGGCTTCGGGGTCGGGATTCACAATTTAGGAGTTCAGGGGCTAGGGTTTACAAATGCAAGTTTACGGTCTATCGGATAGTCTCGGGTTTCAGGTCGCGGGGCTGTGTTTTGAGTTGCTTTGCAGGATGCGAGTATGTTGACAAGGTCTACAAGCGCTTTGAATGATCCCAACGCCCCAAACTTTCCAAGTCAGGACTTGGAGACTTGGGAAAAGGAACTTCCCGTCCAGGCCTTGTCAACGACCCGCCGCAGAAGTGTAACCTCCCTGTGGTAGCTCCTCCGTGTATACACATCACCCTCATGAACAGCCGTGAGTACCATGCCCCGAGACAAAGATAATTGAGTCTACACCGGGGTCGTGTCCAAGTTTGGGGTTGGGTACGCATTCTCTTCGACCAAGTCGAGCCTGCACCTTCGACGCATGGCTACTCATAGTTAGGACGAAGCCCGCATTGCAGTGTACTTTGGGTGAACAGTTGACGGGCTAAAGCTTCAAAGCAACTTACATGGATACATGGCCCCCACACTCAAGCAACTTTATGGCACAGGAATCAGAGCCTCACTGAATACAGGATCCTTGTAGTCGACGCAAAGCACAGAACATGACAGCAGCAGTCGTCAGCCGTGTATTTTTGTACAGTATAGCCGAGTACAGAGATGACCTAGGGGGTATCTTTGCAAAAATCGCAATTGGTGCTCTGTGGCGACTCGGCGAACTACAAGTTTAGCAGCACAAGCTTCACTGGCACAGAAGAGCCCTCTGGCCCAAGCCTCAAAGCGCGAAGCCATGCGAAGCCCTAACTACAACCGCATTCTTCGTAACAAGCATCAGATTCATCACACCGATCTCGAGAAAAGTAGGGGCTACATGCAAGTACATCTTGCCTGGGCCTTGGTCTCGTGCCACAGGCCGTCCCTTTTCATAGAACCCCGAGATGGAGTCAGGAAGGCTCGGAAGGGAGGACCCTACACCCTCAATGCCAGCAAACGATATCTTCCCTGAAGTCCTTGCTGCTGCGGCAGCAGCAGGCCCTTGCAAAACTGCCAGGGTGGCCGTCAGTGGCGCCAGGTCCTCAGCCAGAGTTCCCTGATGTTGCCTTTCAAACTTTCTATTGCCGGTTTTGGTCTTCAGGGTCCTTCGGGGTACCAAACCTAGCCCCCCCTTAGAACCATAATAACAATAACAATAATGATACTATTTGGAATATTCTCTATGGGTTCTATATGAACAAAACCAAACAACGATTCTAAAGATTCTATAGGAGACCATAAAAGCCTCTTATGTTGTGAATCGAGGCACTTCGCAACCAAGCTCGGAAGCCAGGCAAATCCCGCTTCACCGCTCACAGATATGTCTACATGTATATGTGTATATATATATATACAGCTATAGTTATTAATAAAATAGTTACAGCTGTAGAAGGAGAAGGTAACAGATATAGATATAGCAAGCCTGCATAATCGAATCCAAACGGCCCGCCGCCAATGACCGGACAGCCGAAGAAGCCTTGGCATGGGTGAAACATGGGGCCTTGATAGTTAGAGGCTGTTGGGGTACATTAGAACCATTAAAGAACCATAGACTGGCAAGCACAATCATTTATGGACCACATAATTAAGTACGTAAAAACTATGTGGGCGCTGCTCTTTATTACGGCTGCAGCCTGTGACTCGAACATTGCCTTACGCTTCGCCAGCGCACGGATTGAAGCGTATGATTGACATTGTTGCTGTGTCAAACCCCTTGAAGTCCTAGTTCCTAAATTAAACGTCAACGAGCATTGCAATCCACTAAACCCTGGCCGCAAAGTCTCGAACCCCATGCCTTGAGTCACCAAACCCAAAGCCACCCTAACACCTGGACTTAAACCCTAAAAAGCCCTGCAAACAAACACTCCGAGGGGCTGGGCAGCCGTTGGGTCCAAAGACTGCCGACCCAAGGAAGCTAGCAGCCGACGCTCGAAAAGCGGTAAGGACCTTATGAGAGCTCGGGAGGCTTGGTTGAGGACTTAGGATTTGACTTTATACCGTGTTGAAACTCGCGGAAGTGTAGGTCCGTTTTTGCATAAACCCTAAACGGCCCTAAACCCCTAAACCCTAAACCGTGGCTCTGCCATGCAGCTTCAGAGTTTGAGTCAGCTTGAGAGTTTTCGAGCTGCGGAGTTTTTTCTGATCGGGAATTTTGATTCCCAAGTAACCGTCACCGGCATTGCATGAAGACTTCAACCAAGACAGAGGCTTCCCTTAACGAGAGGAATATCTTGCAGTTGCTCGACTTGGAGGTTCAGGGGTAGTTGCAAGCCCCTTCATATGGGTTATAAGTATAGTTCCCTTCCTTACAACCCTACTTCTGACTACCCGTGAACCTCCAAGTAGCTTCCTCAGAACGACTCAAGCGATTGTGATGGTGTAGTATGGTAGCTCTGTTTGCAATGCAGTGGGACGGATGATCACGACGACGCCTCCTTCTGCTGCTGCTCCTGGGCCTGGTTCCTGTCCTGCGAATTATTGATAGTGCTTGCTAATTACCGCCACTGCCACCGCCGCCGCCGCCAGCACCAGCAGCTGGAAGCAGCACGACCCTCACCACCACCAGGACTAGCACCATTGTATTGAAAATCTCCGACACAGCGCTCGCGCACCGTGGTGTGGCGCAGTCGTCACACCGCGACCATTCTGGCTTAATGTAGACATTGGGTTAAGAACCTTAGCACACTCTACCCTCGCTGGACGGCGGATCGGGTCCGTATTCATTTACCCTTCGCCCAAATCCTAAACCCTAAACCTCTTTGTGAACGAGCACCCTAACCCCCCCTCTCTCGCTGTCCCCCAGGCATTCGGCACCCTTTTAACACCTGGACTACGCATATGCCGGCACCCTAAACCCTCTCTTCTTCAGCACAGGCAGAGGGAAGCGCGATCCGAGGTCCGCGCCCCCCTCGCGCGTTTCCGCGCACTGGGGGGTGTACAGGGTGGAACGAATTGCCGAGATTGTTTGTGGATCGATTCACCGGCTCCCCCCCCAAAAACCACTAACTTAAACCCCAACCCGCCTCGAAGGCTAAGTGGGGTGCCCCCCCTACTATCGGTGAACGATCCTCTCTCTCGAGCTAGGTACCAGGCAGCTGTAGGACCACCGTGTTGGTAGTCCCAATGTAGTCGGCACTGAAAATTGGCCCCCCAACAAGCAACACCGAAACACATTGCAACACTGTGCTAAAAGTAGACCCCGTTAAGGTGTGCGACTGGCTGCAGGTACGAGGGCGTGCAGGAGGAGACTGTACTGTTGAGGCCCCGGCCGCACGGACAAACGCAAACATCAAAGGACTCACTCATCACAACCCTCTCTCTCTCTCTCTCTCTCTCTCTCTCTCTCTCTCTCTCTCTCTCTCTCTCTCTCTCTCGCTCTCTCAGGCACCCTAAGCCCTAAACCCCTAAACCACAGTGTGCCTGAGTTCGCACTCTGCCAGCGCCACCGACAGCGACGTGCCGATCTCTGCAGCTTCGTAGCCGACCTCAGCTTTCTTGGCAAAACCCCCGTTTAGGTTTAAGACAGCAGTTTTATGGAGGTAAAGTTTTTGAGGCTTATAGCTTTAAGACAGCAGAAATTTCAGCGAAATTGCGAAAGAATCTGCAACAGTTTAGAGCTGAAAGGTCACACAGGCCTGAGGCTTAGGGCTTCGAGCTCGAATCGAAGCCTAGGGAGTTGGTGTGGGACCGCTGCCAAGGACGGCTGACGGCGCTCAACCAGGCCTGCATTTCGACCCTTCAGGTTGGTCTAGGGTTTAGGGTACCACGACTGTCCCTTTCAAAGGGGCCTATATCAATTTCCTGACTCATGAAGCCGGAGCACAGACACAATGTGACGACCCCCAGCTTGAAACCAAGACCGAAGGGACTGTGGCCCCCCATCAAGCTAGCAATGAAAGCCAGGTAATTCTGCAAGAGGTCCTCGTCTTGAGAAAGAAGCTCCGCAAGCGACAGAACCTGCAGCAGCAGAAGCGGCGGTGGTGGCGGTGGTGGTGATGGCGGTGGTATACAGTAGTGGTGGTGTTGACCGTGGTAGTAGTGGTAGCAGATAGTAGTCGTCGTCTTCGCAGTTGGTAAAGATGCGAGAGGGAGCAGGAGGAGAAACAGCAGTAGCCGTCAGTAAAGCAATGGCAGCTGCTGCATGATCAACAATAATTTCATATCAGTGCCGTCGTCGCCATCGCTGCTTTTTCATGTTTGCGGAACGGACAACCACAACAGCAGCTGCCCTGCATCGGGTTGCGTATGGACATCATGGGAGCAAAACCTAAGAAACGCCACCTGCTGCAAATCCTGAAGCCAGATGCAAGTGCCAGCAAAAAAAACATACTCCAGCTTTCTCATCTTCCGTGCATGCACTGAAAATTCGAAACCCGAAAACCAAACCCTGCAGCCGGCACAGTTCCGATCCTGACACATATAGAATTCATTCGGACCTGCTGCCACTGGTCGGCTTGTGCGCAAGATGACATCGTGAGCGTCGCAATTGCAAGGCTGTCCTGTCGGCTCGTGTGTTGTTTCCACTCCGCTCACCTACTTATGCCGCAAAAGTGTCTCTGATTATAACGAGCGCGTGAAGATATGCTGTGTCAACTTGTACGAACCCTTGCACGCTTACATGCATAAACATACATGCATACATATACATACGTACAACATACATGCATACACATCGTAGCACTCGCGCTCGAGCAATTCAGACCTCGATTACACACATATACACATGAGCCGCACTGACACAGTCTTGTAGTTCTCTGGGAGTCGTGCGTGGGCCCAAACAGCTCAATTCTCAAATACGTGACAGAGTCCGAAGAATCGCAGCCTGCACCAGTCCGTAACATTATGCTGAACCTCGACTTGAGAACAGCTTCAACCAAAGGAACCTGAAGCTTGCATTGAAGCAACTGCGACACAAGGCTCCTGTAAAGAGGATTTTAGTGAAGCGGGCAGATACCACACAGTAGCAATTAAACGTACTCAGATTTACGACGGAAAGAAGCAATACGATGGAGACTTGTAGAAAGCAAGGGCATAATAACAGTACAGAGCTTCAAGATGTCAAGCCCCTTCTGAGTGCTTGACTGGCCAATGTTGCTCAGTAACAACGGCGACAAGAGAATACGTGAAAACACACAACCAACGTCGTCAGCCACCCCATATACGCAACAAGTTCCCCTGCAACGAGCCTGAGCCTCTAACTATGACAACTCTGCAAAATATCCTTTCGAGTCCAGCTCTGAATCCAGATCATGTGCCCTGGGGACAACTTTCAGATTGCGGCATGAGTCCTGACCGATCTCCTTCCGGAAGTCTGCAAACAGGCCTAAGGCGGCCACCTTGCACGCATCTGCTTGTGGCGATCATGAGCAGGGACCTAACGGCGATGACGATGATGACTCTGACGATGACTTCAGTACTGATGCCAATGATGGTACATGCGATGATATTCCATTTAACTTTTCAGATGATCGTGAAATTCCTTCCTCAAGTTCAGCTGTATAGTAGCCCAGGTTCAGCCGATTGGGTGTGCAGTGGGGTTTTGCCACTGAAAGAGAGTGACACGCTGAATGCCAGACTCTGAATCACGCCTCCTCCTAAAGCAGGCAAACGCCAGCTATATGACTTTCACGTAATCGTGCCGCATACTAAAAACCATCCCGAATCCGACATAACAGACTCGAGCCTTGTACCATTGAAGCCCTACAAATACTATTGCTGATAACATGCGAATGTGCGTAATCGTATGAACACAAGTAACCTCAGATAAGCCGGAAATGGTTCACTGCAGTGACTACAGACGTGTGTGTATAGACACACGCATATGTATATGTATATATATATATATATATATATGTATGTGTGTGTATGTATATGTATATATATATATATATATACACACTCGTACACATATACACATATACTTACCTCCCTATACCTACCTACCTACGCACATGCATGCATAGGCAGGCAGGTATGTACGTATGCATGTATGTATACGTATGTATAACGTGGAGCGCGAGGAAAAGATAGACACAGTGCGTGAGCAGGGAACGCCACCATGGCAATGGAAAACAGCCATATATGGACAGGCAAACCAGCAATTAAACATACATGCACACACACACACACACACACACACACACACACACGCGCGCGCGCGCGCACGCACGCACGCACGCACGCACGCACGCACGCACGCACGCACGCACGCACGCACGCACGCACGCACGCATCCAACATGTAATTAGTACGCCAACGTATCCTAATGTTGCTGAGACGTGCCGACGCTTACCTGATACTTGCCTATGTCACACTGACATTGACAACGTTCCAATCTAGTCCGATGTGCTGATGATACTTCAGTTCCTAGGACAACAGGAATTGACTGAGTTCAGCACCCATTGTGTCGATTCTTGACAAGCACGGATGGCTGCACCAAAGCCTCTTCAAACGGGGCTGGACGGTTTGCAGTCTTGGCCGACACTGCACGGCCTTGTACAGATTGACGTTTGGGCTTCAGCTTCCTTCAGGAGCAACGATGCCGATGGCCCGTTCGAGATTCCGGCTTACCTTCAAGTTCCTCCCCAGTGATCTGCTGCTGCCTTAGTACCATCCTGTAGTATGCTGCGCTGTGCTATGCGCTAACATATACTATATGAGACGAATTATATACCATGCAGCAAATGGCCTGCTTCGCTGGGTGCCAGCTGGAGAAGAGCGAGTGCAGCACACCAGGCGTCCCGGGATGCAGCCACGGCGGCACCTTCTAGTTCGAGTTGAGGCTTCGTGAAGCTGCGGGTGTTCGGAAAGCCCACGGGCTTTCGAACGGTTGAGGAGTGAGTGAAACTTGCCGGACACGGGAAAGGGGAGAATTCGCGGACTGGGAGACATCCCCTAAACAAGCTGAGTACATATATGCCGATACACCAGGAGACGGCCCCCGAGGCCCTGACTGATGCAGATCTCATTCACCCGAATGGCCTGGCAAAGCGCTGGGAAACTCGTGATCCTTCAACTCGCTGTGGCACTACAACGCGTGTGGAAGTAGCAGAAGCAAAGATACTTCGATATCCTTCCTTTTGACATCTTCCTCTAAGATTCCTCTCTCTGGCTGGTCTCACTGTTGCAACATGCTGTTGTCAGAGCCTAGCAACTCCTTCAGGTTGGGGATTTCGAAACAGTTCAGCTCTGCAGCCTGCCACATGCATTCATTATGTACTACTGGGGCCTGAAGAATAGGGTTTTGAGGCCCATTAAACTGTAAATGTAGCAAGGAGGACCCAAAATAGGATAGGTAATTATTGAGGTCCTGGTGAGGTCTCTTGTCTTTTGGACTGTCACTTGGAAGCCTCGGTGTCCTCTGTAGTGTATAGGCCAGTGCTTCTAGGATGTTCTTTCTCCTATCGAGGATGCTCTATGTATCCTGGTTCAGCCTGGCCATGAACCTTCAAAGACAGTGCGGCCTGGCCTGGCCTTGAATCTTCATACAACAACAGCTCTAGCAAGTCATTCGAATGGCGAATAACACGAAAAAACACAAGGAACAAATTGACCGTATTCGTCGTCGCCGTCTTCGCAATATTAGGGCTTTGTACGTCTATAGGTGTGTACTTGTACTTCAATCTTATAACATCTTTTATAGCACTCCCAACTGACACAGGCACATACGTATAATCATCGGAGACCGATCCCGGCATGCAGCTGCGTGCAGGGACCTTGCTGCGCATCTCTTCAACCAGCGCAACCGCCAAGCCCCATTTTCGGGGCACCTCGCATGCGCGAATCACCTTGAGGCGTCCGGAAGGTCTACAGGGTTCTTGCCTCCCGCCTAGGTGACTGGGTTGCATTGGATGTTATAGGGGCTTAGCAACTCTGACTTGTTGGCTCTGCACTCTAGCACTGCTTCTTCTGGTTAAGGAGACGCTCTCCCTGCTTTGTGGACCTCTCCATGTATTTCTTCAAAAGGGCTTTGCATACCCAGGTGGTTACTAATCTCGGCTTTGACCCGACAGGGAAGAGGGTTGAGGTGCACAACCAGAGCTGGCGTCGAGCCAGGTGGCAGCACCGTAGCAAACCGCGTCCAAGGAGGCTTCTGGAAGCGCATGGAAAATGGCCAGAGCTCTCGTCCATTGACTGGCGCTCCTGCTGCAGGCGACTTAAAATCCCAGAGCGACGGATTGGACCATGGCACATGGCGCCCCAGGATTCGTTCTTATTCTTGCACAAGAAAATTTACGGAATAACACGGCGCCAACCGAAAAGCCGGCAACCGTATATAGACTCTTTCCCATTCCTCCTGTTGCACTCTTTTGCATACTGTACGGCATACGTCCTAAGCCCAAAGCCCAGCCCCGAAGCCCACCCACAGGCAGAAGCGGCTGCTGCAGCGCTTGATGCGCCGTCGGCTGTTCTTTGCAGTGCCAGAGCAAGCTGCCTCGGAAGATCAGGTTTTCGGATAGGGAGTTGGGGTCAAGCAGCATTATTTTGAGAAGCGTCGGTTCTTGGGATCCATCGGTAGGTCATGCGACTGGGTTTTTATGTGGTATTCGATTAACAACCGTGCTCATGCGGGTCGCGCATGTCGAGATTTGGACACCAGGTTCGAAACTTGCTGATCGGACAACCGGTGAGATCTTTCGGTGTGTTTTGTGGTGGAGTTTTCAAGGAATAAAGTTAGCCCGCGCAATGTCCGCACAGGATTTCTTGCGCGAACTTCCAGAACTGTTGGGAACATCGACCTTCGTGCGAGGTAGCTTTGCAATGCGATCTTGGCTCCGGATGTGCGCTGCCAAGGATGGGGAAGCAAGGCAAAAATTACATCAGAAACGATGTCTTGACACGAAAGCCAGCAGAACCAGTGTCACTCTCACACCCGTGGACAGCTCAAGACTCTCCGACCCACCCACCCCCTGCATTGCATAGAACAGTCGAGCAAAGCGGCCACTGTGAGGCCTGCGCAGCTTCAGACTTCACGGCTGTCTTACGGAGAAGTCTCAGATTCGTTCAAAGCCGCGAACTGGCGCGTCGGGGTCTCAGGCCTGCTCTGGCTTTGACTTTCACGGCTTACGATGGCTTGCATCTGCATGTGTAAAATCAGGTGTCCCACGTGGTGATACAAGTACCCATGAACTTTTTGTCAACTATCTTTTGCCGGATCGTTTTGCCAGCATCGAACTCTGCAACTCCTCGAACCCTGAAACTCACGGGACTCACGGGCCTGTCCACAAGTGCTTACCGCCGTCAGCCGGCTGATGCGATCGGCTTGAATCTGTTGCCTGGACCGCCATCGCTGGTCGGTGTTCTTTGGCTTCTAACTAGCTTCGTTGTCCATCAATGCGGCATGATTTCGAGATCAACTTGAGGCGCAATAACGCAGATACTGCGCTGCAAGGTCGAGGGCCTTGAAGCAGCGCCTGTTTACCTCCTGCCTGTCAGCAACTGGTCAAACTTTATGTTAAAGCCCTATCAATCCCGAGTGCTACATGGTGCCAGCTCTGGGGCAAGGGAACTCGAAGAACGTCAAGTCAACACTAAGGAGTATAGGACTGAGTAGGATCCCTTACTCCTAGGCCATTGCTCACCATGCACTTCCCCAGCAAAGAGAAGAAGAGGACTACAAACGTATGCCAGCCAGCCGGAACTTCGGAGGCCAACTTTCGCCTGAAATGCCTTCGCCTCCAGCTCGTCATCGGCGTCATCGGAATGCTCACAAGCATTCCGTCAAAAAGCAAAATAGCACGACTGTGCCTGTCGTCTTCGGGCATATACTCATCGCTTCTTCCTCGCATCATCGTAGCCTATCGTATCATCAACATCGTCTTCTGCACCATCAACAACATCACCTGCAGCTTTAATTAGCATCAACATCGCCATCATCAGCATCAAACTAACGACGGTGCCTAGATCAACATGAAAAGACAAGAGGGCTCAAAACACAAGCTACTCCGACTGATTCCCTGGGTGACCGCGGCCTCGGCATAGAGGCCAGTAGCAATAGCCTTAGACAGACAAAGCCCCCCAATCCCGAAGGCAGTAGGACCTACAGGATTCCTGGGCCCCTTTGCCTTGGGTTTAGGGTGCTTTATTCTCTTGGCTGAAAAGCTGTGAAGGTGTCGGAGCTTGGAGTCTAATTCTCGTCGTCTGAATTAGCAAGGCCGCCTGCCGTGCTGCAGGTTCTGCTAGGGGTAGCCGGTGCTTTCCATAGACGGTACAACCTTACCTGTATATCCCTGGCGTCTGGTTCTCCAATTCCCCTGACAGGACTGCACAGATAAGCCGTAACCTCCAGCTCTATTGTTGCGCCCAAGTTCGCACGCTGCCACTGACCCGCGACGTCGCAAGCGCCCATCGCAGCGTTGTATGCAGCGCAGCTCGGAGACAGCGACCCAAGCTCGGCTTCCTGACGCCAAGACCACGGCGACGGCCGATGTGTGTATGTATGTGTGTGTGTGTATATATATATAGGGATATCAGGTCAGGTCTCATCCTTTAGAGATGTGTGCAGGCCGTCTCAGCAAAAGGCGCCTGCTTCTCAATCCCAAAGCGATCCCAAGGTTCATATATCCATCAACACCCCTTTCCTGGAGGCGAGTATAACCTGGAAGGTGCAAGAAAGCTACACGTAACACTCTAGCCGATAGAACTTCTAAACAAGCTGCAGCTCCAAGCCGGAAGCTCACACCGCACACAAAACTCCGCAGACTCCTACTCCAGAGACTCCGGGCAATACACGGCATGATGACAATCATACCGTGCATTACAGCCATGGCAGAGGAAGGACAAATCAACAGTAATTGTGAACGAACTCCGGACACCTAAATTGTTGAATCCTAACCAACTTATCCTGGAAGACGAACCTCGGAAATTCTTACAGACGAATGAAGCTTCTTGTCAGTACCAGAGACGTTCTATCTGAACCTTAGACCGCAAGCGAGCAAGACACCCCCGGACCAGCCAAACAAAGCACCTCGAGCAGGGCCAATGCTTGGCCCCAGAGCCCCGCCACAGCCAGCGCACTTAGCGCTGCTGTGAGGCTATGAGCCTGAGCTGATGTCTTCGTGATATATGTATATATATAGATACATAGACAGATATACATATTTATATGTATATATATATATATATATGCAGTGTATATATATATATATGTGTGTGTGTGTAGTGCCTAGCGTTATTTCCAACTTGTTTCGGACGCAAAGCACTTGGGATGAAGATGTGTAGCCTCAAGCGCTCGCGGGTCGAAATTGGACATCACAACCCCCGCCGGTTGGTCCCGAGTACCTAAACCCTAAACCCTGACAGCTTGAAGCATCCGAGGGCTCCGGCCAATCTCAGGGTCTCAAAAGGGGGCCTTGTGGCCCAGGGATGTGGTGATTCTACTTAGGAGCTACCTGGACCCTAAGGAACCTACCTGTTTAGGGCCCCTTAATATGATTTCTTGTCCCTAACAAGGTAGGTTATTTGGGGTTAAGGTAGGAGCTCAGCTACCAGATCCCGGTCATCAGCCGAACGACTGGGTGACTCTCAGCCCCTTCGCGCATTTTTTGCAAGCTTCTGAAAACACAAGTTCGAGGCTCTTCCCTCCATGAACCGTCATGAGCCCGCCGGAACGCTAAACGCAAGGCTGAACCAAAGCCTGAGCTCTTGAATAAGCCTGTCAGGGGCCCACAAAGCCCACCACCAGCCCGACAACTTCACAAACACCCCACCACAAAACGCACTCCCTGAGCCGAGCCGCATCAGCGCCGCCAACGCGGAGCCTGCCGGGCTCTGGCCAGGGGTTAAAAAAGGGTTTTTGATGTCGAAGTCCCCAACTATTAAGGGCCCTATCTGGGAGTTTCCGAAGATTGGGGGTACCTTATATATTTTGAGGTCCTGAAAATAATGAGGATCCTACGAAGTGCTATATTAGGGTCCCATGTTTTCGGAAACTCCCATCCTGCATCATTGAGCCCCGAATAGCAAAATGCCTTGACGCAAAGACGCCCAGAGCCGCTTCCCACTTCCCAGCACGGGCGCACGCGGAAATCCTTGGCAGGGGCGCTGCACCGGTTTACGCTCTCGCAAATCGGACTCCGCCAGACGAGGTCTCTCGGTTCAGAAGCCAGACTGGTCAGGCTAGAAGCTGACAAGCAGTTGTACACCACAGGGAAAACGTTGAACACTCAACACACCGTAGTTTCACTAAAACATACCGGTTGTCAGCTAGACGAGGCATTGATCGGGGTATGAAAGCCAAGCCAGCTCAGTGGGCGATGCGAAAGCCCTAAGTAACTTCAGCCCCGGTACAACGCCCCTCGAGTCCAACACGGAGAGTCTTAGGGCTTCGGGGTTTATCTGGCGTGTGCAATGCGAGAAGAGTTTGGATGCAAAGGGACCTCCCAAGCCCCGTCATATACTACGGTTGATGATATGGGTAGTTGTCAAAATTAGGGTCCCTTTTTCGGCCTCTATTTCTAGGGGTATACCCGAAAGGGGACCCTAACTTTGACAACCACCCCTATAAATCCTGCATGACCTCAAGGATGGCACGTGCAGCTCTGAACAGGACTGCATGGCCGGCATCAGTAAAGCGAGCAGGAATACCCACACCTTCCATCCCAAGCTCCGGCAGTCCCCAGAACCCCCACCATAAGCCTGTACCCAGAAACGCTGGGCACATTATATATTAGTATATTCAAGTTTATAGAATTATAATTGCTAGTATAACATAAACAACATAATGTTAATTGCATGATAAGATCATCTATCTTGGATGAAAAGGCCAGGGAGCAGGGCATTGTGCGAGATTGCATCAGGGGTCACCTTCCTCGGTGTCTGGTGTGTCAGGAGCTGCAAATTTGTATGCTCATCCTCTACAGCTGTGGCGCAACACGAACCCTCCTCAACTGTTGAAAACTTTGCAATGGGGACTTGAGGATTAAAGCGACATGGGTTTTATGCTGGCTTTCGAAAGCCTTCAGATTTCAAGTTGAATGAGAGATTCTCGGCCATGGTCCTGAAATCCGCGGCAAGAGAGAGTTTACCGGGCAGAGTCAAAGGGGCTTGCAGGCCGAGCCTTCGAACGAAACACATAGTCTGCTTCTGTAATTAAACAGGGAGATACTTTCGCTACCTATTCACCAATACAAATTCTTAGCAGCGCAGTGACTGCGGCTTGCTAGGTCAGTATAGAGACGGCGACAGCAGCAAAACAAGCAAAATAACAACGCAACGAACCACACAAAAAAACAAAAAAAACTCCAATGTTGATACACTGTCACAGAGTGGCACGCTGAGAAAAGTTGAAATGCTTCAGCACCAAACCCGACCTATGCAGAACCCGACGTGGAACATTGCTCACAGCCATCGCAGCCACTGCAGCTCGGTGAACACATGCGCTACGCGGGGTCACAAGTCCCCTCATATGGGTTGGAAGTATAGTTACCCTACATATAACCCTACTTATAGCTATCAATGAACCTCCAAGCAAGGTTTGTCTGACTCCTGTCTGGACACTCGTTGGACATCACCTGCAGCTGCAGCACAGCTCGTTGCCACTCGCCGGCCTCTGGGACACTGGGCTTTCTCAGGTCCTTATATGGGGAATAGATGAAGGAAGCTATAAGGGGTGTACACCGTGTATATATATATATATATATATATACACACACATACATACATATGTATATGGATATATGTAGGTATATATATATATATATATATATATATAGCCATTATGGAAGCCATAAGGGCTCTATAAGGTCCTGCAGCTTCTCGGCTTCCAGGCCCTTCCGAGCTCTTCAGCATAGATCTGAACGTTTTTAGCAGGATCTGAAAACCTGGGGGGGGGGGGGGGGGGGGCGACTCTGGGAGTCCCGCTTGTAGGGCTTTGCTAGCTGTACATGCCTGCATCATTTTATTCGTTCGATCGTTCTTTCATTCGTTGAATACACAAGCTAAGTGCATGGCATTGCATGACAAGACACTACGATACTTGACTTGACAACGCATTTCCTCGCATTACATTGAACACGCGTGCAGGGTTTTTTATGCACCCCGCACACATTCATTTACACAACCAACTACCTATATGTCTATATATGTATATATATACACACATACTGTAGGAGAGAACCAGCCAGCAAGTGTGTGTGTGTATATATATATATATACATATGTACATAGGTATCATATATGCGCACATCTAAACATAATGAAGGAATAGTTGCCTTCTCGAAGGCGCTGATGACAGCGTTGTGGCTCACCGTGTCGGTGGACAAGCGCTTCTGGTACATCCTTGCGCCAGAGATCGCCAGAGTAGGGTCAGGCGCTTCGGGTTTGAGGCTTGGGAGAAATATGACATGCGAGGCTTACAGGATTTGAAGGCTGATTGCAGACCTGCCCTGGTTCTGAGATTTCCTCGCTGGTTGCGGAAAACACAAATCGTTCAAGCCTGCAGACTTCGGGTGAAGTTCTTAGTCCGCCAAAATCTCTACCGTCCATAGAACACAGCTCTATGCAGGTCAGCCGCCGCAGCAGGAGAACAACAGCCTCCTCCCAGTCACCCGCCTGCGGAAGCAGAGTGTTGAGGCTGTTCTGTGAAGGAGGTCGTGGTAGATCTAGCTTTAGTGCAAACAAGCCCAAGGACGACTCAAACAAAAAAACCCAAAACAACACAACCAAAAGCTCTTTGGCGGTTTATGGTTGTGCTGCCTGACACCGTAAATTTCCAAAGCCCAAACCATACAAGATTCTAGGTCATGACCCCGTAATTATAGATATGACCCCTAAAACAGTAGGTTTTTGGATCCCCAAACAAAACCCAAACTAAACCCCAACACCCCGTAAACACAGATACTCCAATATCCCTTAATTCAGGATTTGATCTTAAATCCTTTTCGGGATCCTACTAAAGTTACTAAAGTTTATGGTATATTCCTTAATTCAAGGAATTCCTCTGGGAACCCTAAACCGGGATGGCAAGACAGGCTCGGTTCGGCTCCTTCTCACAGGCTGAGATGGCTGAGTTGAAGGCGATCTCATTGGCCTCGAAGACATGCCTATAGCCTATTACTATCCCGCTATGATTACGGTTATTACTGTTATTGTTACTAGTATTATGATTCTTGCTATTTTCTTACTATTCTATCCTTAAGGGTTCGTTCCAGGGTTTTGGGTTTTGCCGGCCGGCAAAAAAGCTGATAAGCGGTTTTCAGGGTTGTTGACTACACCATTATGTTTTTGGTGTGTGGGGATTTGAAGTTTTAAGATATCTACGCATAAAGCTTTTCAGAAGGCCACAATGATTGCGGTCAAGTTTCACAGCAAGGCTGTCGGAGATAATGACAATGCTAATAAGGCCCATAGGCTTTCGGGGATTTAGGGGTGTATGTATACCTTCCGTGGAGAGATCAGACCTGGACCCGACACGCAACACCTCAAGCCCCGACAAAACCTCAGTTTAAACTGCAGCCCTCACAGGGACGCTTTGGTGTTCATAAAGCTTTATAGGGACTTGTATGGGGACAGAGCAGACCAAGCCCTCTATCCCGGTCGCCCTGCCTGCCTGCAGCTGCTTCATCTCCATCTCCTCTCGTCTCGCACCCCGTACCTACATCCCCTTCAACCCTAAGCCCCAGCATCAAATCCTGCTAGACCTGACCGTAAGACCTGACTGCAAGGATTTTGCCCTAAACCTCAACTTGACCTCGGGCGCCCTAACTGATCCTTGAACCCTAGAAACCCCCAAAATAAATCCAGAAACCTTAGTAAACTGTCCATCCCACTCCTGAGATGGTTGAACAGTCTTGAGCCCGTGACACTCGGAAACTTCGTACCCACCGCAGCTACAAAGACCTATTGGATTCCCTGCTTGAGGTCCTCGTATTACGTCCCTGTTGTGATTCAGAGATAAATATGTATATACATGCATGCATACACGTGTAGTGTAGAGACATATAATTTAAGCATGTTACGCATACATGGTTTAGGTATCGGCATGCACAACTGGACGCTGGGTGAGGCTCTTTGAGTTTCGGCGCTCACACTCGGACAATCCAGGCGATGCACAAGAGTTTAGGGCTATATGGGTTTAGGATCCCTCTTCTGCTTTGCAGTTTCAAGCTTCGGGTACGGCCCAGGGTCGTTCGCCTCACAAGTCCCGGGGTTGAGCTTCATGAGCTTCTATGTTTTCGGCTACGCCCGGTCAAATATCCTAAAGAGCAAAGGCTCGAGACCCTGGCCGTGGAAGGGACAACCCAAAGGTCTTGGGATTCTGGGACCAGTGGGCCAGTGCTGCCCAAGCCCTAAACCGAAAAAACCTTCAAACCCTTCCTACCCTTGCAACCGTAAAAAACTACCCTTACTCTTTAGCAGCCCCTGCAAAAAAATCGCCAGGATCCCCAACCCGACATCCCCAAGGTCCTCGAGGATCTGCCTAGCGGTGATGCTCTGCCCGGCACGGGCGCAGGCGTTGATGGCCGCGCCGCAGGCGACGACGTACGGCTGCAATGCCTCCTCTCCAGACATGTGCACAATTCAATGATAACACGGACTCATATACATAACCTCTGCTATATACATGTACATATATATATATATGTATTAGTATATATATATATATATATATATATATATATACATATATATATATAGAGAGAGAGAGAGAGAGAGAGAGAGAGAGCATTCTTCTTCGCACAGCTGGATTTTTAGCCCTTTGCAGAGATTTAGCCGCGTTCACCCCTTGCAGTCTCGTTACGACATTCAGCTCTGGGTGTACCGGATGTGTGATAAGGCCCCATGTTGCCTCAAGTTGTGGGCCTTGGGGGGAATGGACGAACTACGGCCTACTCAGTATGGACGGTACAGATTGTGAATCCTTACTAAACCCTCTTGTGCAGCTTGTAGAGCAGGACCTGAAAATTGCAACACAAGAACAGCACGATCAATGCTGGCTTGGAGATTACGGCTGAGGGGATGACGATGTTCTTTCCCGCCGGCTTTCGCAATACGGTGTTAAAACAATTTAAAACACATGTCATGGACAATCCACTGGAGAGCTTCCAGACCCGAAGGGGTACATGGGTACACGCCGAAACACTGAACAATTCAGTCCCCGTGTCCAATTCCTAAAATAGGCTCCGAGACCTAAACGACAGAGGCAGGTCCGAGATGAATGAAGGTATCACTTCAGCACGCGGACGTGCCTCCTCCATTGCCTTCAACAGCTCTATTGCCACTTCCCAGGCATCGCTGCAAGCGTTGATGGCTGAGCTGTAGCTGACTTCCTGCGGAAGGGGCCATGGGCTGCGTGCATAGCGCGAGCAATTCGCCACCTGAACCCTGAGAGACATCAAACCTGCAGGAATCTTCTGTCAGCCTTGCGAGCACGTGCCCTACATCCGTTGGTCCGTTGCATGTGGTCCAATTTCGGCACTGCTTAGTCACTATGGCCGTGAGCAAGCACTATCGCTCATGGCTATACTGTTATCGGGAATGTCTGTCTTATCCTGTAGCTGCTACGGCTAGCCTTACGTCACGAAACAAAGACCATCCCACCCAACAGAATTGCGGAGCTGTCCGTCGCCACCACTCGGTTCGCTCTCATACTCTCCTGGCCCAGGGTTGTGGTCGATTGGAAATGTTTCTTGTTCTGCTATGCGTGCGAGATCTCGACAATGTCGGCAGCATCCTGAAATCTTCAACTAAACAGGGCAGACAGCTTTAAGCCATGCTGCCATATCCGTTGCCCGCGATGGTCCAACAGTTCAACACAACTCAACAAAACAATGCAAGAGCCACAAGGCATATAGAGCCCAGTGTCCAGAAGTGCGACTGCGCTTGGCCAAGCTTTGCGGCAAGCGCTGATCGCCGAGTTGAAGGAGATGACATCTGGGTCCACTCTCCTTGGGTGCCCAGGTCTGGAATTGAGGTTGCGCGAGGTGTTTATGGATTCGTATATAATGGGGTGTGTGTGGGCGAATAGGGATATCAGGTTCAAGTCGGGTTAAGACTTCCTGAAATACATAGTCCGGCCGCCGGAAACACACCGACAGCTCGAGCTGGGCAAGGCTGCTGATCGTATCGCTGCAGAGATGCCAAACAAAAAACACCCAAGCGTCTCCGGTCCAAGCACACAAGGATAGTTTCAACGCCGAGACACCCAAGATGACCAAAGCTTGAACTCCCAAACTCGGAAGCTTCACACCCCAGGCTCGGAACTTCCAAACCTTCGCACTCGGAGCGCAGTAAACCCTCAACTTTGAATCCGAAGCCCTCAAAACAAAAAAAAATCCTGAAGCCAGACCCTGAAGCTCCGTTCAAGAACAAGCTAAAGCCCCTAAAAACCCTCAAGCCATCCTAAAGCCTATCAGCCCTAAAGTCGCCCCCCAAACTCAAGGAGGACGCCTCAGAAGCCCGCTTTTTGCAGGACTAACTTGAAGATATGGGGACTTTGATAATTGGAATAGGGTTTTGGGGCCCATTATACTATAATTTTCACAAGGATCCCCCAAAATAGTATAGGTAATCATTTAGGCCCCCACAGTAAACGACGACTTCTCCGACTTCTGAAAAAAAACCCTCGACGTCCAAATCCGACGAGGCTCCACCCAGCCACCTCCGAGAGAACCTGCAAGGCCTTTTGCCAGTTCTTCCGGGCGGCCTCAAAGATAATAGTAGTTATCGTAATAATAGTACTAATACAAATAGTTATGATAGCAATAATGATAATAGTAATTATTATAGCAATCATAACTAGTAGTAATAGTACTAGAATAGTAATGATCGTAGTGATAGGTCAGGGTTCAGGCTTCATGGCTTAAGGCCGTTTCTTGCCTCCTACTTCGCTAGGAGGATGCCGACATAGCAGGGTGGCTAGGTCGAGGGCTTAGGGTTTCAAGGTCCACTAGGGCTTGAGGGCTGGAGGGTTCCGAGAGCGGATTCCACACCGAGGCCAAAGCCTTGATGGCAACGTTGACATGCACGACGTTCAGTGGCACCTTAGCATCCGCTAGTACCACCAGAAGGCATGGCTGGCAAACTTACATCACTCAAACTGCCCATTCAGTTTTACAACGGCAGCGGCTCGCAACCCCACTTTGCAAGCGTGAGACAGCGTGAGGCTGAGGCTATAGAGTCTAGAGTCTAGATGATCTCGCTTGTGCTGCATTAATCTCAAACCCGCACTTAAGCCGTGAGCCAAACCCTCCTGCACCTCAAACCCAAGCCCATGAGCTCGGCAGTCGGGGCACATTGGCCTGCCGCAGCTCGTGGAGCGTGCGGGAAACGTCGCCTCGCAAGCGTCCGGCTGCACATGGGAAATCGGTTATCCGACGGATCCAGTTGTGCACAGCAATCTGCTGTTTAGGCAACTGCGCAAGAAAAGCGAAGGACGTGTTGGCCCGCTGTTCGCATAAGGCTCGCTGGGATGGACGGGGTTGTCGTCGTGGCCCATTACAACTACACCTGTGTGGAATCGCAAAATCTTGCCTTCTTGCTCTCACTCTCGCTCGCTCTCTCCATTCTGCTCGCCACCACTCACACCGGTCTGTTGAACCGAGAGCCATGCTGCCAAATGTGGGCAAACACATGGCTGGGCTCTTCCAGGCCCAGGCCAGTCATAGTCAGCTTTCTCTGCCTTTCTCTCTGCCTCAGTATCTCTCTCTCTCTCTCTCTCTCTCTCTCTCTCCGTCCGGTGCTTCAAGGATCGAGCTCGAACCCTGTGGCCACCGATCCGTCACCAAGGCCTCTCTTTAGGGACCTCCTCAGGAATTGATCCCTGCAGTCCCTCAGGTCGCAAAGCTACGGCTCCTCGCCTCCGCCATCTGCCAAGCGATTCCTTCGCTCTTTATTTGCTTTAATGTTTTGCAATGTATAAGTTCTTTCTAGCTACAACAGCAGAAGTCTAGCATGGACCCAAAGAAGCACAAAACGCACGCACAAGGTGTTGCCCATGTGTCTTTTTTGTTTCCTTTCAGGGGGGAGGTTGTGATTGTGTGTGGGGGCAGAAGGATCCCAACGGCTTCAGAGTTTAGGTGCAAAAAGGCACAAGGCTGAATTTCAAAGATCGGGTTATGCCCCGACGGTAACCAACCTTTAAACATCAAGAGACAAGGGCACATCATGCTAACGGGCTCGAAGTGGGATTCCGCATATCCTTCACGAGCTTCTTGCCAAACCCCCGAAAGCAGGACCTCCTCATGCCCCCAGGTGAAGGCATACAAACCCTGAACGCCCGCGGCCTCAAGCCGAAGCATTCCGAAACCACACCGACCCTGAACCCTAAACCCTAAACGACTCAGAAACTCAAAACCCCAAATCAATCCCAAGGCTCTAAAGAAACAGAAACCGAATCTGGGTTCTTGTTGAGGGAGTTGATTTAAGTTACCAGAATAAGGACCTATAGTAAGTAATGTGGTTTCGTTACCATGGAAACTTAAACGATATCCTTTAACAAGGAGTCAGGAATGTAGTCAGTCAGGACTCAGAAACTCAAACCCCAAATCAATCTCAGGCCCTATAGAAACAGAAACCGAATCTGTCTTCTACTCTAAATAAGGATCTTGGGCAACTGCTATGGTTCCCTTACTATGGTAACACGGCAGCTTAAATGTAAGGAATGTCTGTCTGGTTCTTAGTAGGGAATGGGGGAATGGATCTTTGTAGTAGTCCCTATATAATCCCCGATAGTACTCCCCATAACCCATCTCCCATTCCCTACGAAGAACCAGACAATGTAGTCAAGACTCAGGTGTGCTGTCAACTCCTTCGGGTTTTCTGCCCAGAAGGTTGCGAACTCCCTGGGTTCGCGCAGCTGGGTGGCACCTCCAGTTGAGAGATCTTGGGGTTTATAGGTGTTTAATCAGGGTTTTTGTTTACGGGTTTTTGTTTCAGGGTTTAGGTTTAGGGTTTAGGGTAAAAGGGTTTAGGGATTAGGGTTGAAGGATACTTATGTTGCTGCCCATATTTGCTTGTGTGCGCTTGCGCGCGTTCTCTGTCAAATTTCAAACGTCTTGAAACCTCAGCGGTTTGTGTTTGGAAGAACCTTTCGGCTGGAGCGCTGCAACTTCTTCAGAAGTCACGGCACCTCACAGACAGAGGTCGCGCCCTGTAGCAAATCCTGAGGCTCTGACGCCTCTTGTCCCACGTGACTCCGAGTAAGCTGAGGACCACTGGCATATGTCGAAAGACATGTAGTAAGGCATAGCACATCAAGCTTTTGGTTAAGGGCTGCTTGGTGGTGAAGCGAACGAAGGGTTCACTGAGGGTTTTGGTCTATGCTTCAGATTACTCATTGTACAGCAAATCGTGCCGCTGAGGCAGGCAGAAGAGTGCCTGTGGGTCTGAGCAAGCACCTGAGTCAACACCAAACTAAGCGGACCATTGAGAACCACGTTCAGTGTCTTTGCACTACACCTTCTGGGAACACACAAGCTACCGACATCCTGTCCCAGTCATGGAACAAACCACCTAATCCTTCAACCTCCAACGATGAACCGCAAGGGCTTGACGCTCTAACCCCTACATCCTGAAACCCTGTAGTTACCCTTGTAGTAACCGTGAAACCTTCTAAGGCACCTTCCATTTAGGCGCGATCGTTGAGTCTGGGAAGCCATGGTGTGGGCTCTGCCGTCCGGCGAAGTGCTCTGCGCTTTGACGTTTGAGGAAGTTTACTGGCTTTGAAGGGTTTCGGGTTCGAGAGTTTGGCTTGTCGGGTCTGTGAGCTGAGGGTCACAAGCGCAGCAGTGCCGTATGAGAGATCGTAGGTACAGGATTTAAGCCTCGATTTTCAATATAGAGGCTTCTGTCGTGCTGTCTGGATATGGTTTCGGATAGCGTGGGTGTTGCAGAAACTTGTGAAGCCATACCCGGCCGCCTGTGGAACCTTGACAGCATCGTGGCATATAGGGTCGCAGAGCTTCTGGGTTAGTGATAACGACCGTGACTAGCGCCACTTTCTTGCTAGTGCACGTAGTGTTGTCATATGTCGTCAATATAACTATCAAAAAAGAAGTACTTAGAGAATTTGCTTTGTCACTTGCCGTTCTCTCGACCTTGCTCTCTTGAGCGATTGGCTCTGAAACACGAAGACCCCTCCATTCCTGGGGTGAACCTCCACAACTTTAGCCTACATGCCCGCAACTGGACGGCATGTGTCTCAGCGTGTCGTTCTCATCGGGGGGAAAACAATTTCCTGACTTCCTGACCTTGACCTCAATATTCCGGTTCGGGGTCTGTAGTTGCTTCTTTGCCTCTCAGACTCTGAGGCTTCGCGCCCAACCCTCGACCCCTAGAAATCTAAGGACTCATATTTTAAGGCTTCTGGACCCAGAGACCATACTCTATAAGGCTTTTGGGCTATTTTGATGCCCAGGGAACCCTGAACCTCGGGACAAGATGCGCACATGGTTGCCCTCCAAGAGGAGGCTGCCGAAGGCTAATGCTTCAGCCGTGGCCCAATCGATCGTCTCGCCTCCTTCCAAGTCCTCCAGGAGCAAAAAATGTCAGGTTTGGGGTTAGTATTATGATTAGTATTAGTATTCATATTAGTATTGGTATTTGAATTATATAATATTAGGGCTTGGTTATGGAGCGCTGCCGGGTTCCTGAACTGCGACTGACAGGTGCAAAGCAGTCCAGATGGATTTCTCATGAGGACCCGGAATGCGGAACAGGCTTGACAAAGCCGAACTGTAGGCGGAAACGCAGTCCTCCATCTTCTTCTTCAGCTGACGCTTGAGGCCATTGTGAACCTCCGAAGTCGTGGGCTTTGGGGCCCTTGTAGTAAGTCAGAACCCGGAAGCATAGGCTTTGACGGCATCTAAGTTCAAGAGGTAGGTGGTCACAGTTTGGATCTGATGGAGTTGTTCTCTAGTTCGAAGCTCCTCCGTGCATCGCATTGGAAGTGCTCCCTCTCGTCTGCTTGCCTTAAGACTCATGGCACGTGTTGTCTGCGCACAGTGCAGCAGTCAGGACAGTATTCTGGATTTGCCAAAGCCTTCTCGCATCTCCGACATGCGTCGTAGAATTTCAGGATGCAAGACCACACTACCTGCCTCTGAACGTCGACGTCGTTTCATTTGATAAACTGTAGCCAGCATGAAAACACACTCATACGAAGCTATGTGCGCACTCACATGCTAGCACACATGCTCATGTAACCTCAAAACAGACACATGCAAACGATGCATGCACGTATGCTGTAAGCTTTTAATTTCTAACCGTTCCAACAGTTGCACACACACACACACACCGACACACACGCACACACCTGAAAGCATAGCCACATGTGTGCTTTCTCCTTTGTACATGTTCTATGCATGTGCGGAAGCAGAAAGTGTTGAATGGAAAACAAAACGTTAAGTATCCATGCACATTCCAAATGCAAAATGACTGGATTGCCGGTATATTTTTGCATGTTTTTGTACATGCGTACCATTCTGCTATATGACAGCTCCAGATACAGCGCTGATTGCGCCTTGAAGCCATCTGGAGTGTAGCCTGGGTGCAGGACATGTCACCCACCAACGCACAAGGCAGAGAAGCTTTCTCTGGGCAGTGCTCTGGTTATCTTGCATCTAAGAGCTTGGGGAGCATGCACCTGCGTCACTGCTTGGCTCATGCTTACGGAGGCGATGCTGCATGTATCGCTGCATGGCTGTTGCTGATGATGACAGTGGTGATGCCGATGCATGCCGTGGCTTTGTCGGACCCGACGATACTATGCGGTACGTTGAAGCTGCCTACTGCCACCCTGAATCCGAATGCTCCCCAACATTGTTAAACTTCCGGAAACCCCTGGACAGGAAATGCTCAACAACAGACTCATTCATGGCTTCTGAACGACCGGCAGACGAGTTACAAAGCCTCTCTCCGATTTTCCTCAGCAGCTCAACGTCCACCCCAGTCGGATGAGAGTTGGACATGTCCTGAGCACTCGAAGGAGCTAGTTTTGGCCCAAAAATCCGTTCAGAAGGCTTGTGCCCACCACGACGGTCTCAACTCCAGTGCTCTACTTCCCCTCCCGCAGCCCTGAGCAAAGACCTTCACCACGCTAAGGGAACCAGAAACGGCATCGGGTCATGGCGTGTTGTCGAGGGCAGGTTATGTTCACACTACGTTTGAGTGCCTTGCAGGCTAGGGATCCCCAGGGGAAGGCTGCAAACCCTGACACCTTCAGCCCGAAAACAGCAAACGAGTCCGCAGATCGTAACACCGCAACAGCCAAGCAAGTCCCAAACAAAGCAGGCTGCGGTGGGACGGACGAAGCCCTCCCACTTGGTGGCAACCTTGGTCTTGACTCTCGAGCAAGGTTTGCTATTTGCTGCATCTAGGCCTTTGGTTTTCAGCCTTGCTTGCCAAACCCCTAACCGAGCTGAAACGCCTTCAAGGTCGGGGGCCAGGATAGAAACAACTACATGGTATTTCTTCGTCGGGGGTGGCGATGTCTGGGGTTGGATGGGACTATTGGGCACAACTGTGTGGCCACATTTTGCGCTTGCCACTAACTCGCTGAAGCTTCCTTCTGCTAGGTCCGAAAACACAAACCCTCTGATGCCCAAAGAACCTGGTGTCAGCCAAAAACCCTAAACCCTTACACAAGCTAAGCTAGAAGCCGATCCAGGGCCCCCGAGAAACCACAAAAATATGACTATGAAGATTTCACAAGGATGAGGTCGCCCCACATGCTTCCATGATCTCTTGGACCCCTACCTGAACCTGACCTGGACCCCTGGAAACCTACCCTTTTAGGGCTCCATAATGTGATTTCCTTTTGTGAAACCTTAAAACGGTACGTTATTTAGGGTAGAGGGAGAGTTAGTTAGTTGCTCTCATCCCAGGAGCAATCATTAGTAGGCGCTTGTGAATTTACGAAGCTGAGGGTTTAAGAACCAGGACCGCGCGACACTATGCATGTACGTAAACCTCTAAAGCTCAACCAGAAGCCGCCAGCGATCCTTTTCCTGTAAGCCCCTCTGTTGCCACCGTGCTCTGTCGATCTTCATCAATAGCCGTTGACTATCGAACCACTTCCCTCAAAACGGCGTATACGTGGCGGGTTTGCAAAGCAGAGAACCATAATCCATACCAGTTTTTTTAAAATCGCTGGGGCATCCGGCCCATTCGGCTTCCTCACTGGGCTTGAAGCTGTCCGCTTCCTGCAAGGGGAAGAGTCGGATTTGGGTCGAGGGCTTTCTGGCCTCACGGTCGGGGCCTGGGAGGCTTGGAGCTTGAGTTCCCAAACTACGGTTGATGATTTGAATCCTGCATTACCTTTAGGACGCTAAACTATAGGAATTATGGTATATTCCTTATTATGGGTCATGCAGGATTTATATCATCAACCGTATGAGTTTTCCTGGTATTCAGGAAGTCGCTGGCTTCAGGATTTCGGAACCAGAAAGTTTCGCTTCGGAAGGTGCTGTGAACACACGGGGTTCGTCAAGGGCTGGGTCATGTTCATGAAATCTCGTATTTCAGGACATTCCCGGATAACACTTGCAACCTACGTCTCCCAAGGATTCCCTGGGTCACAGATACACAGAGATCATTCCACGTTCTTCCGTGCAGCACAGACTTCGGCGCTGTCGAACATGCAGGCGGAGGATGCGCCAAGCCCAGGACCTTCAACTCCTGAAGCCCCAAGACTGACATCTCTCTTCGTTTACACCTGGACTACGCATATGCCAGGAACCGAGGCACCGACTGTGCTGTCAGTCTCTAAACCCCTTGCAAACCCTATAGCCCTAAAACCCCACAGTCTCAATAACCCTTGCACATCTGTTGCGCCTTGAAGGCGGCTTCGTGCTCTTTCCAGAGCGCCTCGGGGCAAACTTCTGATTGTGTCTGCCGTATGGCAGTGCAAGCGCCTCACTACGAATCCCTTATCCCCAAACTGGCTCATCGCTTTTAAATGCTTATCGGCTTATCGTTTTACGATGTATGAGGTCGCTGTAAGTACATAAACTTTACTGCTCATCTTCACAGGCACTTTCGCCATCATCAGAGTGTTCATAGCTGGGTTTCCTGGCACGATGGGACCTCACACATGGGTGGTTGTCAAAATTATTGTCTCTCTTTGTGTCCCTATCATATACGGCACCTATTACTTAGGGTACCCAAAAAGGGTTAATTTTGACAACCACCCACATGTGCGCAAACAGCAAGGCGTCATTGCAACCCAGCTGCCGACTTCGTAGCTTCGAGCTCCTGCGACGTTAATATAGGGGCCTTAAGAATTGGAGTAGGGTTTAGGGGCCCATTGTACTAAAACTATAATAAGGAACCCCCAAAACAATATAGGTGGTGGCATGAGATGCCTTGCAAATGTCATGCTCGTCCAAAAGCACATCCAGTGACTTGCCATTCGCACTGCGGGAGTAATTCTTCCTGCCCGACCCTATGGAACCACGGAGCACGCGCTTGGCCTGAAGCCCTAAACCCGTGCCCTAGAATCCTCAAGCCTTAAGCTCTAATGCCCTCAAAACCCTTGCAATGTGGGAGCTGGTCCTGTGGAGTAGCGACGCCACTGTCTATCAAGCTTTTGGCATACCTAAGCCATGGGGTCCCACGGGGTTGGGATCTGGAAAGGCGTTGGGCCTCGCAGCTCGGACACTTCAACTTCAGATTTGGGAGTTTCCGAAAATAGGGGACCCTAGTAAATGGTAGGATCCTTTCTTATAAGGACCCGAAAATAAGATACCCCCAATTTTCGGAAATTCCCACGTATAGTTGCAATTACCGTGCCGTCGCCCTTCAACAACTTGCCCCGATCTTGTTGCAGCGACCTGTGCCACTGAACCAGTGCGCGACGGAAGCAAGTCTCAAAGTAATTAGGCTCAATTAATCGAAAGGCTCGGGGTTCCCACTAAGTTGAAACGGTACCGGAGGCATATGGGGAAACGGCGGCAACCGCACGATTGGTCGGCGCATGGTGGCCTGCTGGATATCAGCAATGATGGTGTCCTGAGAATAATAATGCCAAGCTACACCGCTTCGGTTCGAGGATGCTTGTTGATCTGCTTGTACAGCACAGGCTGCGTATACCTGAGGACAACGAAGCGGCTCATTTAATCACATGTTGCAAGTACATACAACATACGATGGCACATGCGACTCCAAAACATCAGAAGTGGAATGAGTGTGGCGTGACTGGCATCGTTCACATGATTCATCCCCGAGCAGCTTCTAGTCAAGCGCATCAGTAGCCGAAACCATAATCATAAGGACCCTTAGGGGAGTAGGGGGGAGGGAGGTGCGGGCATTAATACCCATAATAAGGACTTAATAAGGCCTCTTTAAGGAAGTATACTCAACTACCCTCCTCCCCCCTCCCCCCCAAGGGTCCTCATGACATAACCTGTTTAAACCGCATCAGGTAAACTTTGAAGTCCCGGATTGCCTGTGTTCTAGCTTCGCTAGTCTCCCCTCGTCGAAAAGGCCAAGCGGAACCAGGTGGGAATGCCCAGAATAGTATAGCCAGATGGTGGGCATGTCCATGTCCCCGTCTCATCTTTCCATGTCTCTCTCTCTCTCTCTCTCTCTCTCTCTCTCTCTCTCTCTCTCTGTGTGGGTGTGCATGAATGTGTGTGTGTGTGTGTGTGTGTGTGTGTGTGTTCGTTCAGTCCTGCGTTAACCTGCTGCATTGGTGCTATGTCTGATGAAAACCTGAACAGCATGAGCCATAACATAGGGGCCTTTATAATTAGAATAGGGTTTTGGGGCCCACTATACTATAAATATATTAAGGAACCCCCAAAATAGTATAGGTAACTATTAAGGTCCCTATATTAACATTCCAAAAGTCGGGAGGCTCTGGGGCATCCGTCTCGTTGTGGCCGAAGCGGCGGTAGCAAACCTCGACCCAGATTTCGGCTTCTCGGATACCCTGGCCAAACTCTCACTGGAAGCCTCCTTGAGGAGTCGAGCCCTCCCATGGCTCGTGAGCCTCTGTGGGCTCTTGATCTACAACGGCTCCTGCAAAAAAAAACTGCAGAAATCACTAGACAGAACAGCCTGCTAGTAGATGTGAACCATGTCAGAAGCATTGGCAAGTTGGTATGGTCCGGGACAAGCCGAGCGACAACATCGACGATGACCTCGGGTGCTCAGCATCCTCCTCTCTGCTGAGATACCGAAACTGCCATCTTCCAAAACTGCCAAGGGTGCTGCAGCACCAGACGTTCGCAACACCACGACTTGGGAGTTTCCGAAAACAGGGGACCCGAACATAGTAGGCTAAATAGTAGGATCCTTATTAGAAGGAAACAAAAATAAGGTACCCCAAATTGTCGGAAACTCCCACTTAGTCAACGACGAGCAGGAGTAGGACGGCGACTTTTGCTGCATGTCTACAGATTCCACGTATTGCAGGAGCTTCTGCTGCGAACTGCAGCAACACCGCACCAGCGACTGCCACTCCATGATTCTTGATAATGTAGGGGACTGAATAATTAGAATAGGGTTTGGGGGGATGCTATGCTATAATTATTCTTGTAAGTTCGCGGCATCTGTTTGCCAGGTCTGTCTCCACTCGGCGGCAAGCTCGAATGCACCTGTCAGAGCCCGGACATCTCAAACAGATGCCAGTCGCTTCATGGCTCATGTGCTGCACTTTGAAGGAAACAACGAACTGAAAGGGCCAGGGTGCTGGTGACTGCCACAGGGTCATCACCATTGACCTGCACGTCGACAACTAGTTTGTCTTTTGGGCGTTAGGCATCTCCACCTCCTAGGGTTCGACGAGGAAGATGGCCAGTTCGCTAGATTGGGCTGAGGCTTTAAAAATGCCCCAAATAGATCCAAATAGTATGGCACCCTCATATAAAGGACCCTAAGACCTAAGAGGGACACCAATTTCGAAGACTACTATAAATGTCGCACACACAGGAAGGGCACGTAACAAAGCAAAATGGATGCCCTCCAAGCCACATGCAAGATGGGAAGATTGAAGCTCTTGCCTCAGTTGCAAAGCACAGGCTCGAACCATTGTCTGACGCAAAAGAGCCCGGAAAACTTCTTGTCCTGCTTTCGCAAGACCTCCAAAGCCACCCTGAGCATCAGCTCCATCCCGTACAAGCCCACATGCAACTGCCACTGCTGGAATAAGTGAAACACACGGACACCGAATGCTTTGCTGCTGTCTTGGGACGAAGAACCCCGTGACTGGAATGCAGGACTTCGGACGGGGATGATTCTCCAACTCTCGAATTTGAATTTGACTGAAGTGCCGAGGTCAGAGGTGTACAAGGTGGACCGGTCATCCACAGGGTCCGTGGTGAAGCCCACCTGCCGGAAAACATCTCAGAGACGTTGGTTTTTTAAGCCGTCGTATGAAGGACTTGGGCTTGAGGTGTTGGGAAGAATCAGCGACTGAGGGTCCCCATGCGGTCACTATTTCGGGATACCATTGGGCTCTCAATCCCTTAGCCTTGACGATTCGTCGGGCTCATGCCCCCAAGCCCCAGGCTTCGAAAACTGAACGAATGCCTTCCTAAACCTGAATCTATTTAATTCCCATACCAGTTCAATGAGAAGAGTGCTGACAAACACTGAAAGACTGAATATGCTAGTTCTTGACATCACTATATGCGTGCACAACCTGGTTGTTGATGATGACGTGGATGGTGCCACCCACGTCAAACTCCTGCGCCCGGAGGCAGTTTGAGAAGAACCGGGCTCTGATGGCTTTGGAGCAAGGTTCTTACTAAGCAGCAGAACTGCTTCCATCATTTTCATCCCTCAAAACTACGGCCTAAATCCCTAAACTCCGCCTACCCAAACCGGAGCCAAACCTATAACCAGGCCCTTTCATGTGTTCAGATCTCTGGGGGCCTTTCAATGAAAGGCTTGAGAGGGTTCCGGGTCTAGGCTTGTAACGGGACAGTTGCAACCAAACCTTAAAAAGGCCTTCCTTGAGCTTGTTAAGTTGGGGGCCTGAAGAAGTGCCTTGGCATATGTCATAGTATAACTACACAGGACGATCAGCGGAGATCTTGCTACTCCCTACAATAACCCAATAAAATTGGAAACCTGATTAAGGCCAAATAGAGCTGGGATTCCCTATGCATTACTCATTACTCTTAAGGATTGAGGCTATTGGGTTTCCAACTCTTGGGCTTCTACTTTAATCCTAAAGACTATAGAGGCGAAGGGGTCTCCTGCACGTGGGCCAGCTGCATGGTCTCATAGACGACGCCCTGACCGGCGAAGGATGCATCCTCGGTGCAGCAAAGGGTGGGCTGCAGGTTCAGGGCTTCTCCCTAGGTGGTAGCCATAATTCCTGAAAAACTTCTTGTGGAACTTAATTTGGGTGGTTGTCAATATTCGGGTCCCTGTTTGGGTCCCTATTATAATACGGCACCTGATATTTAGGGTACCCCCAAAAGGGACCATAATTTTGACAACCACCCTAATGGTTAAATAGGGTTAAGGGTGCATAGTGTGCAATTTTCCAGGCTCTGCGGTGCAAGTCGTGTGGCCCCTGTATGGCCGAAACGGCATGTGCTTCTTGTTCCGTCGGGTCGTTGACCCGAAACACGAAAACTCAACTCCAAACAAGGACAAGCGAAAACAGCAACATGGTTACGTGCACGGGGGCTTTGCAACGTATATACTAACGAAGGCAGGCTGCATTAGAGTTGAGTAAGACCTCTTCATGCATCGTTTTGTGCGGGCATACGAACGCAAAACGCTAGCTCTATCTCAGATTCAACCCGCCGAAATTTCAAAGCCCACACCCTGAACTCGACAACCCCCCCCCTTTCCGAACCCCACTCACAAGCTATGGCCAAGCATCGCCATGGAAGAGGATGGGAAGAACTCGAGTTCGAGACTCTGCCGTGTTGCCTAAGTAGTACCTGCATCCCAGGAATGCTCAGATTCTATGATTTTGCTGTTTATTGCTCAACGCTTCTGGGGCTTACAGGGGTGGCAGGATTTGAGCACCTTTAGTCCAGGAGGCCTTGCATCCTCTGCCTCAAACCTCTCTGGCAGATCTCGCGTGTGTGCCGAGATCACTTCTTGTGCCGGAAAAGGACGAAGCAGCAGCAAAATAAATGGCGTTCTCATGACAGTGACGATGAATTGAGACAGAAACAGTGACGATCAGGCAACCAATAGTCAATTGCAACTTTGGCAATACTCATGATGCAACAGCGGTTGATGCCGCCCTGCTCTCAGATGCGGGCTGTTTTGCTCGAGCACGACCGAGCGTGACGGTGTTGACCTCGTGGATGCAGGCTGAGGAAAGCGGCTTGAGCGGCTTGACTGTCGGATTGACTCTTTGAATTGTTCAGTGTTCCGGGTTTGAGCTACGGATTTCAACTTGTACGACTGACAACTGCGTAGCCTAGCAGAGCGGGACATGTCCGAAGGGAGTCTTACCGATGTAACAATAAACTCTAGCCCTCTACAGCAGTTCCGACGTATTGAAAGGCAAGGCAAGGCTCTCGGTACCATGTGCTGCTAATTGAGATGACTGGTTCTGCCGCCAGGAAAGTCATGCTTAAAGCAAGAGTACTTCAATTACACCCAGACCCTCCTGCACCAAGAGGTCGCAAACTCAACTATTAGCAAAGTCCCGTGCTCCGCTGCTGGCGGCTTGACTCTACACGCTGCATACAGGGGAGATGTGTACCCGAACCATTCTGCACCTCAAGGGATTAGTCCTTAGGATGCCAAAGCTTCCACAACTATCTTGCAATACAGACTTTGTGAATTGACGTCTTCATCTCCCAACACTGAGCCCCGTGCGGTCTCCAAGTGGGAGGGGTTGGCCTGAAGGAACACCATGCACACACCATATGACCAGTCCTTTAATACCACACATGTTTGTTGGGATGATAATATGACCCAGACAGTGACAAGTAGTGATCAATAAGAATGAGCACGAATGTAGTGCATTGAGTTGAAGCGTTGCGTCCGGAAACCTAGCTACGACTAACGCGAGAAAGGATAACTTCTTACTGTAGCATCGTACTAGAAGGAGTAGGACTCCAGTGGCAATCAGCGCACTTTGTAATAGTAAACATGACTGCAGAATCTGCTACGCACCATCATCAACATAACGTATAAACATAAACAGCAATGTCTTAACCGTCGTCATGTCCAGCTCCGTAGCTTCCAAGCTTATGTCCCACAAACTTCGGGCCGCGAGGGCCTGGAGACTTAAGGTTTACCTGAAAAAACCTACCAAACCCTACTTTTTGTAGGTTCCCGATTGGTACGATAAACTAGAACCTATCCGATGAGCTTCGGAAAAGTAGATATGCCCACTGCCTCGAGGGTGGCCGTGATCGTCTTGCCCCCTTCGAAGCTGAAGACCTGGCACAAGTTCAACAACTGTTGCAAAAAAATGCCGAAAGGATCCCATTATGTTTGAGTCTGTTTTGCCCCCTACGTAGCGAGGACTATGCTTGAACAACTGCTGCACATGCTGCAACTAGCGACTCACCATCCCTTACCCTAGTCTGCATGGTCGATACACCTGCAGCCAGAACACTCCCAAACGAATCCACCAACCGCCCTGTTCGGACTCCAAGCAAGGTCTGCACCCGAAGTTTGATGGCTTCCACATCCCACCCGAATTTGCTTTCACACGGGCTGTCTCGCCACTGAGCAGTCCGACGTGCAGAGTCAACGACATGATGACTGTGCCATAATTGTAGACATGTTTGCCTCCGGTTTAGGGCTCGGGGTCAAGTGTCCCGGGGTGTCCTAGTTTCTAAGAGGGTTGACGGCAGGCACGGTTAGGAAATACATATCGTAAACTCAAAGACTACAGATCCTCGAAATCTGCTCCTTTGTAAGTGTCCCAGAGTGCTCCAGTTTTGGGCTTCGACTCGCACACTCGCCCGCAGGCAGGCACGGCTTCATAAGGTATCGCTTTTGGGGTTTCGGGGTGAGAAGATACGAGCTTCGGCTTGCACTTGCAAAGTTCTGGCTCCACAGAAAACAGAAGAAAAGTAGCCCGATTCCTTCAGGCCTCAGAGGTCCAGGTGCTGTTAGACTGTTATGTAATTAAGTTTTTAGCTTATGGTGTTCTGGGGCTGTGCGCCTCATGCTGCTGCTGGGAATTATTCTAAAGCCTTGTAGATTTAGTTTAACGACGAAGCCTTGCCATAATCAGAACCCAAGTCGCCTAATTCTAGGTCTGAATAACACGCGACAGCCCTCGAAGGTCCTTTTTGCATCCCAAACCAACAAAACGAGCCTGTGAGGTGCCAAGGTGGTACTTCACATCGCCGGCGAAGAGCCAGTCGTCCTCATCGCTCCTCAGCGACTGAATCTCTCTTGTGTTGAAAGTTTATGAAAGTTAAGGGTATGTAGGGTTTATGGGTTGGGAGTGATGCTCCCCCCCACTACCATCGCCACCACCAGGAAAAAACGACTCTGATTCTGAAAAGCATCTTCTCCACGATCCTTTCGAAGTCGTAATGGGTGCCCTGATCGCCATGCTATTGCAGCCTAACTAAAATAATGGTCCAAAACCTATAACAGACTATTATTCTACATACTTTTGGGGTTCAGGTAAGGCCTTTATTGCCTGCGACCTGTCGGCCGAGGAAACCTCAGGGATGATAAACCTACTTTAGCTGGGTCCTTGTTGAGGAACTAAATTTTAAGCTACCATAGTATGCCATAGTAGGGATCTATTGTAAACGACATGGCTTCCATATTGCGGTAACTTAAATTTCAAGTCCTGGGCAAGAGCCCAGTTAGTGACACCTTTGCGTGACTGGCTCTTGACAAAGCTACAACGAAACCTCCATATTGCATGATTATTCTTGGTCCAGTCTTTACAAATCTATCTCCTGGGTACCGTAAGACACAGCCAGAGGCAAGGTCAAGCAAGATCCGCAAGGACCGGAGCAAGGCAGGTTAAAGTAGGCGCAGGAAACAACAGAAACAGAGCCAAGGTTTCAGAAGTCAAATCTGGCGACATGGCGCAATAAACGAGTGAGGTGCGTATCGAACCACGGGCATCTAAGGACGTGTGGATCCCGATGATGCGACACCCTGCCTTAAACTCTGCGAACATCTGCACCAAAGGCTTGCGCACCACGTTGGTGAGGACCTTCAGTCTGGCTGACCGAACACTGCTCTGAGCATTCGGGGCGTCACGCCTCAAGGTTTGCTTCTGCCGTTTGTGTTCGGCGGTAATTGTCGGCTGGGGAAGCTCTGGCCTGAGATCGGCTCACGAAGCCTGGAAGATCGAAAGCCTGCAGCATCGATGTGCCTGTACTGCCTGTACTACTTTAACTGTAACTTCATGAAGCCTCTCGAGGCGAGGCTGTGTTGAGTGCGTTCCAACATACTCTTCAACAGCTCTGAATCCACGTTCGTATAGTATAAAACTCTCAACTCCAAGGTGCAAGGACCCCCAACAGTCCAAGAGGCATTGAGCCGGCCACGATGTGGCATGCCGATGACGCACTCGGACATGCCCAGCGTCGCAGCCTGCTCAGTTGGTGCCAAAGTAGCCGGGCAGCTTCTATCTAAGGCGTTGCGGGCAGGCATGCTTTTGCTTGCAACTCATACTGAAATCGGACATGCAAGGAGCGCGTCCATGCCCAAGGGTCGATTGTTCAGGCATGAAGGTTCAGCGCTCGAGGGTTCCGTCTCGCAATGTCCGGTGCGACGGCCGTGTCCAACGGCCCCAGGCCCAGAATTCGACTGAGGCTTCGCTAATTTTTGCCTGCAGCCCCGATCACGTCCCTCAACTGCAATTGAAGGCATGACTGCCTTGATGACTCTGGGCTTGGTGACAGTTAGCCCTAGCGTGATGGCTGCCGCAGAGTGCTTGCCTGCTGTCGATCTTTGTCGTTCGTCGTGCTGCTGCTGCTGCAGAAAAACACTGACAAGGATGATCTTCGGAAAGGTATGATGGTTATATATGCGGTCGACGATGGAGACTGGCGTCTTCGTTAGACCAAGCCGGTGCCTTCTCGATGGCGGCATTGACGCCTGGGCGGTACTGGCGTCTGGATTCCGACGGATAGGTGCCCAAGTGACTGTAAATCCAAACTCTTCCAAACACGAAGACTACCCGGGATATTGTCTCGACCGTCGGCTGCCTCAACATCGAATCCTTTGAACCATAAGTTCAGAGGCCAGTCTTCCAGATTAGCAATGCTATGAAGCTCGCTTGGCGCCCGCACCAGCCACTGCAGCTTCGCCGCCATCGACGCCGAAGCGTTTTGTTGTCTTGTACCTGCAGCCCAGGACATAACCTCAAAAACTCTTGGGTTTAAACACTCGCAACCCGGACTCGCCAGACGAGGTCTCTCGGTACGTGTGACACAGACTCTACGCACTCAGGGGTTTAGGGTTTCTGAAACCCTTTAATTGAAAACCAAGGTGGCCTGTCCATGAGATCGGCAGCACATGTCAACCCTGGACTCCTAAACCCCGGCGCGGGGGAAACCTCGCAAGTGTGCGGGTCCAGGAGGACATGCAAACACCTTCAAATCTCAGTTGGATCGATCGCTTCGGACCCTTGAATGTGAAGGAAAAGCCGAGACACTGTGTGTTCAGGAACATTTCGAAGGTGTCCTCGTGTGGCTAAAACAGCTTCGGCATGTAGCCGAACACAAGATCCAACACAAAGCACGGAACAATTCTTGCATGGGGCGGCGTCCGGGTTCCCTCTTGGACTCTTTTGTGGCTTTCCCCATGTCTGCTCACTACGCGTGCGGTCGGCAACGGTACTTCCACCCGAGCCTCAGCTCTTTTCGTACGCATTCCTACGCCCTGGCTAACCTTCAAGCCCTATAAAGCCTATGCAGGCCAAGGTGCGACTTTCAAGAGCTCCTTGTACACCTATCATGGCAGATGCCAAGAGGCAGGCACTACGGGGAAACCGCAGCAAGTGAGCTGCCTTTGTGGATGGTCCGCGCTTTAATCGTAATTCTGTTTGCCATGCTTGGTTTCACTGGTTCTGGTCTGGCGGTGCACCTGCATCCTGGCTGGCATCAAGATCCGGAACAGGAGCCGCCGCATCAGCAACAAAACCAATCATGACATTGTCATCGAAAAGACTACATCAGCAGCGGCGGCCTCAAACGGCAGTGACGTAATCAACGACAGCAAAGCAAAACACGACAAGGTACAGCGCAACGCACAAAAAACAATGGTGCTGGGAGCAAAGTGGCGAAACTGGATACAAACAGGGCGGGAAATTTATTAAGAGAATCAAAAAAGCCTACCTGGTTCTAAAACAAGGAGAAACTATCCAAGAATACCCACGGGTCAATGCCCCAAGCATCTCGGAGCAAACCAATCTGGCCAGACTCAGCAGACAAAGCCATGGGCTATGAGGAGCAGACTAAGTAATTATTAAGGCTCCTATACTAAGCCCCCATAATAGCCTTTATAATAATCCTCATAGCCCTTTAAAGCCATCTATACAAAACCCCATAGTAGCCTTTGTGGTAATCCTGTTAGACCCCTTTAAAGCCATCTATACTAAACCCCCATACAAGGAGTAGCCTTTACAGTAATCCTTATAGACCCCTTTAAATCCATGCGGTGGGCCTTCAGGAGCTTGTTTTTGTCAGAGGGAATGAAGTTTGGATCTTCCACCCGCTGTCGGATCCAATCAATCTTCTGGAGATCTCCGATATGCATGTACCTTGGGTTTAGGGTTTAGGGGTTTGTGGGTTTAGGGTTTGGGGTATTAGGGTTTAGGGGTTTAGGGATGGGAATGAGCTTAAGAAGGGGCTGCCCTAGTCGAAAGAGGATGCGAAGAACGAGAAGTGCCAGATCGAAGATTTCACGCACACTAGCTCTCAGAGAGTCGGGCAAGCCTGCTAAGCCGTAAAGACAAGCGATCCTGCAACGACCGCACTGTTTCAACACTTTTGGCGGAAAAGGTCAGCATCCAATCCAACCATATCTGAACAGGCAGTACAAAACAACAAGCCTCACCAGACAATTTTTTGTCTCATCGATGCCCAATCCTCAGACGAGGAGCTCGATCCCGACGGAGCCGGAGTACCTGAGATGAAAAGCCCACCGCAGATCAGCGAAGTCGAAGGGATCTAGGGGTTTAGTTTGTTGAAACCGTTTTGTCCGTCAGCAGGCCATCCGAAGAATATCAAGTGGACCCAATCCTGTGCGATTAAAGCAATCAAAGCTCTAAGGAGGTTGTTAAGGCATGTTTCTCAGGAGGTGCGTTTCTTCGCGAAAAAGCCAAGCAGCCGAGGCCTGCACTCAAACATTTTTTGAATTTAGCTAATCGTGAGTTCTCACAGTCCTGTTAGCCACGATCATGTGTCTAGACGCCAAGCCAGTTTCTCAACGGAGCGCCAACAAAACACAATAAAGCTTCAGAAGCCCTCTGCCCCTTCGATGCATCTCTTGGCACATAGTTAGAGCGGCAAAGCCTTGATTGGATTGAAAGCTAGATTTCCAGGACTCCGTGACCAGGACCACCCAACCCCAGATGCCGAATCACAAACCCTAACTTTTTTGGAATCCTCTGCCGCAGAATCCTGACAATCCCAATCCCCATGACCCAATCCCCTAGAACGTTAACAGCCCCAAACCTGAAGACGTAATCGTCGGCCCGGGAACGTACTCTGCAGCGTGGCCAGGATCTCTTTCAAGGTGTGCTCTGCACTTAGCCCGACTAAGCTCACCTGACATTGGAATCGCAGCTGTCAGCCCAAAAAGTATCAGTCGCCTTAACGCCATGCACTGCTGAAGGGGCCTGAATCATTAGAATACGGCTTTGAGTAGATTGTAGTACACGCATTTAGGGACTACACGTGTAAACTGCCTGTAATCCTCCCTTGATGGTTCCGACTTATCTACGTACAATTGCATACGCATATACGTATGTATATATATATATATATATGTCTATGTAGAAAAAGTTTGTCTATTTATACGTGCTTATTCAGTTGTGTGTATGTATATATAATATACACACAAATGAACGTGTACATGTACATATGTAGATGTATCTGTGCATATGCATAAGCATCTTATCTGCATTCCCATCTGTCTATGTACGAGTATGTAAATGTGTGTATACATATGCATACGGTTTATACTTGTCACCAATACTTATCTGTAAATATACTACTACTTACTACTAACCGCGGTTTATTTCGACGCGAATGAACTACTTGCCGGCCCCGACCTGGAATTTCTTATCCATGTCTGCGGCAGTGAAGCCATGAAAGCCTTGGGCTGCAACAATCGGGATCTGGGCATAGGGCTTTGTTTTTTTTTTGGGGGGGGGCTTTGGGGGTTGAAGGGCGATCTACATAAACCTGGTCCGCTCCGTTTGAAAGCACCATGGACCGTGCTTTGCCTGTGGTCGGGGTTAGGCGACTCAAGACTGTCTGACGACGGCAGAGCCCTTAGAGTTGCAGGATTGTTGGGGAGCCGGCTGCTTGAACGAACGGTGTTCTCAGTCTCAGGCTTGAGCTCCTTTTCGTGGCCTTCTCTCTTTGGAGCCGAATGCTTCGCAAGCAACTGCTGCCCTTGATCCGGGTGATGGCAGGTCCTCAGTCATCCTTCGCGTGTGTCGTTGTTGGGTTTTTATCGTCCACCTGGTTTAAGGGGTGTAGGTTTCAACGGTGACGAGTTAGGTCTTGCAATGTCTTGCAGGTTCGCGCTCTTCTCTTGTTTGACGGGTTTTCTCCCAGTGCCTCATTCACAGTGCAGGGCTTAGTGGCTTCAGGGATCCACCGTTCACGTCGTTGGCTCCGGCAGGTTCTATCACTCCAGGTGGCCGGATTCCTAATTGGGGTAGGAGTATCTGAGGACTGCTACCCTCCTGGCGCAACACACTCTGTACAATGGAACTTGTCCGTCTTCCACAGGGGAGAGATTGAAAAGAGGCTCTTTCGGTGCCTAACGTCCCGGACCGACTGCATCGGCGAAGGTGGTCTGTTGAATTAAGCAATGGCAACATATATACGTATTTGCATCTGTATACACACATATATACATATACATAGATATATAGACACACATGGAGCTGCACAGGAACTTATGCAATGAAGGGGCGTCCCACGATGTGGCCTGTCGAAGCAAGAGGCTCTAGCTTAGCTTCTGCAGCTACAAGGGGCCATCGACCGGTGTTCTCGATAGCTTCGTCCGGGCCGTGGCGGGCACGAATGAAAGTCGAAAGCCGGAAGTTCGGGTTCAGGACTTCGCCATCTGATTCGGGCATGTCTCTACACTGGGGTCTTCCAAGGCGCAGCAGCTATGTCCGAAACTCGGAGCCGGTCAAAGCTTGAGACATGCCCAATCGGTGGCATTAAACATTAAATTTGAGCACTCTGGAGTTGTTCAAAGGCCCTGGCTCGATACACGGAAAAGCTCCGTGGAGCCCGCAATCTGAACAGAAGACTTCGAAATAGGGCTTCGGGATCAATGACCAGGGTTGTGCGCAGGAGGAATGAGCGACTCTTTCGAGATATGTTCTGCCTCCTACGTAGTAAGGAAGAGGGTAGCTCCGAGAAACTGGTGACGACGAGTCTTTCGAGATTAGAAAAATGGGTTCGGGAGCTTTCGGATTGGTTTTTTGGGGGTGGATCCAGGATTGGGTGATGGGGAGGTATTGCATCTACTTGCCTGTGTGCCTAAAATACGGCCCCTCAGCAATGTGCAGAGTACATCATTACACATCACCCAAGGGACCTTTAGTTTAGGCATACAGCAATTTAAGTGCAAAAGCTGGTGTTTGCACAGCTGTTGTTCAGCGCCGCGGGTCCTGCGAAGGTGGAACCTCCATGACGTCACACTCAGCATGTCGTCGCAAGACTGATTGCTGAGGCATGCAATTACACGGTTGTAGCACATGTCGAACTGTGAACTATGCTAACTGACTTGACACTGGCGACTACAACTACAGCTACGCGCATGCGTGCAGATATGCGGTAGACATACATAGATACATACATACATACATATATACAGGTATATGTATGTATACACTTGTAAGTGCATTTTTTGCCTCCTGCAAGTGTAGTTACATGGATCTTGAATTTCAGCTCATTAGACTTCATACGTCTAGCTACATGACCTCGCATTTCATTGCATCACATGACATCTCACAGAGTTCAGTACAGTTCATGGCATGCCATCAAATACTGTTGCATTACATTGCATTATAATGCGTGGAGTACATGCTTTACATTGACATCCATCCATCCATACAGACAGGCAGATGGGCACATACACACACACAGAGACGCAAACGTGCTGTGGAATGAAGATGACACACGGCTAGGGAAATCCAGGTACTAGTTACTAGTTGGCAGCCAACTTTGCCTCAGGATTTCCTTTGACTAGACTGAACCTGGAGCGACCACAGCCAGAAGAAGTCACAGGAACATCAAAAAACGTAGCTATCAAGCTCATTATCGCCACATCATCACGAGCATGAGCAGCAACAACGGTACTAGCATACATGTTGTATATATCATTATGCGAAAATCCCTGCAATCTGATGATGCGAAAACGATATTCGCCCCACGACTGGAGGTACTCTTATAGAAGAGTCCTGGAGTCGCCTAAACTAGGCTTCCACCTTTGCATGCGACACGGACTCTTCAAAAAGTCCCTGAGAGTATTTCAGAAGATCAAACTCGACCCTGAGCACGTGGTCCACCGCAGTGAAGATTTCCTGAACTTGGAGGTTCATGGTTATTTAGAAGTAGGGTTATAAGTTGTTTAGGGTTCCTTTAAGGCTTCTATAGGGTTCAGGGTAGTTATAAGTAGGGTAACGACACTTATAACCCATATTAGGGGACTTATAACGCCACTTATAACTACCCATGAACCTCCAAAAGGGCCTCCTCAATCATAAGGACCCTTGGGGGGGGGTAGGGGAAGGGGGGTAGTGCCCATAATCAAGAGCTACCTATTTCAGGAAGTATAGTCCCCTACCCCCCACCCCCCCTAACCTAAGGGTCCCTATGACTCAAGGTCCAGGGCCAACAGGTGGTTTTTGTTACTCACACTCAGACAAGCCTGACAAGGTTTGTAGTAGATAACTTGTAGGGGGTAGGGGTCCTGCTATCAACTGAAGCCACGCCTGCCTGGGAAGCGTACGGCCTTCCATGCACATGGGTAGGTTATCAACTGTAGATGGTGAATAATGGTCCTCTGAAAAGATCACTGCCCAGGAAACTCTCAGCTGAAACCCGTTGTGCCCAATCCTGAAGCCTTTCCCCAAGCTTTGGAACCAAAGCCGCAACCTGTATGAACGCATTTCAAGGAAACATGACTCTACTACTACCTGGACCCCCAAAGCATGTAGAATAATGGCCTTTTAGAGGTATTGGGCCATTATTTTGCCCTACTTTGGGGGGTTCAGGTAAGTAAGTTCATTCTCAAAAGGAGCACCTGAAACCTAAACATCGGAATCCCGGTTGAAACTTAGACTCCAAGCCGCAGCCTAAGTCCCTAGGTCCTCGACTCTAGAAACCGCAGAGCTCCATACCCCCCCATCCAAGACTCTCACACTCTACCTTAACCCAGGCACCTGCATTTTTAAGGACTTATATAAAGAGATCATAATAAGGAACCCTAAACAGGTAGGTTATTTAGGGTTAAGGTAGGCCAGAAAATCGTAAAGTCAAGCAGCCTGAACCCTCACACATTAAGTCAGCCAATACCCCACACCCTTTTTTGCAACTGGCTTGCGACGTCGTGCCAGGACCCTTTTGCACAAACCCCCAGACCCTAAGAACCCTCAACCCAGAAATCCCAACACTCTGAACCCTCAGGGAGACTCCACACCTTAAATCCTCACACCTTGAATCCTCAGACAACAAGCACTCTCACCAAAGGGCCCTCGGAATCAGAATGGTGTTTTAGAGTACTCGCTAGTATAATTCTACAAGGGAATAGAAGTGATCATATACTATTCGTCATAACTCCCACCTCTTTATGAAACACTTGGAACTTCTCTTCAAGGTTCCTCCTAAACCCTTAACCCCTTAAACCTAAACCCTAAACACTCAGACCTCTCTCTGCAAGGTTCCGGGTGTGCTCTGCGGAGCTCTGAAGGGAGTGCGTCGAGCTCATCACGTGCGGCAGTCAGGGCAGCTTCGGCCTGCTAGGGTTTATTTTTGTTTGTTGAACTCCTTTTTGCGTCTGCCTGAACCTCCCAAGGAGAGTTTAGGGCTTCGGTTTTTAGGGTGCAATAAGAATAGGGTTCCTTTAAGGGGTTCTATAAGGGATCTATAATCGAGTTCTATACTGTAGGGGCCTTGATAATTAGAATAGGGCTTGGGGGTATTATACTAAAAAACGTAATCAGGAACCCTAAAAAACACTGTTTTCATTATTCAGGCCCCCCTCATTATATTGCCGCTTATAGGGTTCAAGGGCTAGGGGTTGGGAGCTTGGGGTTCAGGGTATATGTCGGTTCCGTGATCTATTATACGGTTTCTCAGTACGACTCAAATGAAATCTTAACACTTGGCTCTGCAAGCTCGTGGACAATTGAGTTTGGGCATCGCTGACCAAATCCTGCGTGCTAGACGCCAAAGTCAGGTGCGCACAAACATGGAACCGAAATCCCGAGCGAAAACATCCGAAGCACAGCGTTGCAGTGAGGGTTTTTGTGCCTCGGTCAACCACCGTCGTGCCAACTCCTCTGCTTGAGCCTGTCTCAATAATCGAGCATACAGTCGGATTCGGAGCCCGACGAGACCATACGCACTACAGGCATATTAGGGCGGGCAGAACGGAATGATGCTTTCAAAGTATGTTGCCTCGCGCTTGAGGAATCGAGCATTTGGAGTTTTCTCGATCGAGACAGGGCTTGACTCGGAGTCTGGGATAGGTCCTCAACCTTGTACCCTCGAACTCGAAGCCCAACGCCACGAACCCGAGCTCTGACCCATAACAAAGGTGCGTGTGATAGTTAGAAAACTGGAGAGTATCCAGGTCTCGATCCTCTAAACTTCGTCGGGCCTACCTCCATTGCAGCGTCAGACCATCGGCCATTCCAGCAAGAAGGCCCCTGACTCCAGACCTTCGACGGCTTCCAAGGCTCTGTCTGGGTTTGGGGGTTTGGAACACAGGAAAGAAGATTCTAGGGTGAAGGTTGAGCGGCAGCATGTTGTTGACACAGCTTCTTATTCCGAGTGACCGTTGTTCATATAACCGGGTATAAATAAAGGGTTGTCCTACTGGTGCTTGTGCTCCTACTGCAGCAC